AAGAGAGAATCAGCAAACATGTCTTAACTATTTGTGCTGCTGTAACAAAGTACGACAGACTGGGTAATTTATAACTAAATAGAAATTTATTTCCACAGTTCTGGAGGCCGGACAGTCCAATATCAAGGCATGGTGAGGGCTTCTTGCTGAGTGCCTCACATGGCAGGAAGGGTAAATGCTGTGTTCTCACATGGCCAAAGTTCAGAAGGGCAAAAATGAGCCTAAACTAGTTCTTCTCTTTTTATAAGGGCGCTAATCCATTCATGATGGTGGAGCCCTCATGACTTAATCGCTTTTCAAAAGATCCCACCTCTTAACACCACCGCCATAAGGATAAAGTTTCAGCTGGGCATGGTGGCTCACGCCTGTAATCCTAGCACTCTGGGAGGCCAAGGCAGGAGGATCGCTCAAGGTCAGGAGTTTGAGACTGGCCTAAGCAAGAGTGAGACCCCGTCTCTACTAAAAATAGAAAGAAATTAATTGGCCAACTAAAAATATATAGAAAAAATTAGCCAGACATGGTCCCAGCTACTCGGGAGGCTGAGGCAGGAGGATTGCTTGAGCCCAGGAGTTTGAGGTTTCTGGTGATCCAGGCTGATGCCACGCACTCTAGCCCAGGTAACAGAGTGAGACTCTGTCTCAAAAAAAAATAAATTAAATAAATAAATAAGGATAAAGTTTCAGGACATGAATTTGGGGAACATTCAGACCATAGCAAAACATTAAACACAGCGTATCTCCAAGGCTGATTAGCATTCCATTGCCAGATACATCACATTCAGCTTTCAATAAAAAATTACAAGGCACACTAAAAGGCAAGGAAAATAACTGTCTGAAGAAACTAAGCATCAGACTCAAACTCAGACATGATAAAAATTCTGGAATTATTACATAAGGAATATGGTTCAACTAAAAAGCATCACAACCATCATTTATCTAATTGACATCTATAGAATATTTCTCCCAACAATAGGAGAATACACATTCTATTCAGCTTACATAGAACATATTTCTCCCTCATTGTTGAAGGACAGTTTTGCTTCATGAAAGAAGCATCAAACCCCAGCGTCTAATCAGAGGTGACCTACTACTTACTCACCAGCTCCAAAGGCAAAGAAGGAGCCTTTGTCAGGGAACTCCTCCAAACGGGCCTTCACCCGCTTCCCCATTCTCTCGTTCCGCGTGTAGATCAGCTCCCTGCGGAAGTAGCTGTCGATCTCCTGAGCAGTGATGCGCTCCTGAGGCGGGAGCATGGCATTAATAAAATTGGGAATCTCCGCCGAAATAAAGAGAAAGAAATAAAATAAGGGCAAGAGAGTTTTAACAAAGTTACTTCATTGGAGGATCAAATCCCCCAGCCTAGATGGTCAAGACATTGTCAGGAGAAGGCTGAGGAGGATACACCATTCTTGGAGTCTCCTGTCTGCTATAATATCCTTCTCTGCAACTAAAGTGAAAAGACATTAAGTGAAGTTCACTGAATGAACTCCTATGCTGTTTAACTCAGTACTTCTGTTCCATTTAAATGATTCTGCTTGATGCCATGTATTTATACAAGTGCACCATATGTTTGCATAACACATCCGTAGTTTTAATTTGTTTGATTCACACATGCATTTTTTAAAATAAAAAGATTTCTATAGTTACATATTTTAGAATTAATAATCATGATTCTATGACCACAAACATGGAATTTCTATAAACGTTTAACTGTTTTATAAATCCTACACATTACATTTTCATTATTTCTCCACTTCCTACTTCTCCTTCTGGCTTTCCCCAGTGTTCTTTGCCCTCCTGGCAAATATTTCACCTGATTCTGGTACATGTGGTAGCAGGTTTCAATGTCTGGCTAACAACAGGATGCAAAGTACACCAAAATTGTGACAATCAGGGTGGTTCTTGCAGGCTAGCAGCAGCAGGTGACAAACACACTGTGTCTCCTCCGCAAACCCCCAGCCGTCTGACTTCCCAAACCTCAGCCTCCCCACCCACCCTGGTGCATGCTACGTCCTCTACCCAGGACAACGTTAACCCTGGTCAGTATCTACGCTGCCTGCTTCTGCTACTTCCAGTAGCTTCTCAGAAACCTTTTCAAAGCCCTCACACTCTGTAACGCAGCCATTGACATCCATCTCATGGATAACGGATCTCCTTTCACTGCTTCCTTGAAATGACATTCTTTCATTTTCAAACCAACAGCCTTCGTCCTCTATTCTGTCATCTTTTTTTAAAAAAATCAGGTTTTTTGTGTCAGATCCTCCTGCCCATTTCCCAAAATCTCCTCTCTTTGGCAGAGCACCCCCTCTTCACCAGCCTCTCCACACAGGCAACCCTGAAAAGTGCAGGGTGACCTGCTCCCTCTGCCATCCTGCTCCACTTTCTAAATTCCAGACTTCACTCAAAGCCTGCAGCACCCGCACTCCCCCACGGCCAGCCTGGCCCTCGCTCACAGCGGCAGCGTATCCCCAACACCCCAAGCCCCAGCCGGGCCCTGTGGGCAAGACAGGCCTGAAGGAACCCTAGGCGAGAAACACACAAGACATCCCTCCCTCCCTCGGCCCCATCAGCCTCACCGTTTGCCCACATAACTTCCAAATCCTCCATCTGCCCACGTTAACTTTTCTCTGCTGCTTTTTTTTTTTTTTTTTGCCTATAAGGAAGTGGATTTCTGCTGCTTCAAATGTCAATTTCCCAATTGATGTTGACCTTTCTTCTCTTCCGCCACCCCCACCGAGAGTACAGCTAAAAATCATCCCGCTGTCAACTCCTTTACGTGCTTCCCGTTCCCCCTTCCTTCCTGCTTCCCTTTGCCTTCGTTTGACTTCCTCTCACTCTAGATTTTCTGGAGCACTCATTGCATCTTTTGACACTTCATGAATGAAATGTCACCCTCTGGGCTGATGCTGGACTCAGCCTGTACTGTCCCTCCCCCAGTGCTGCTGTCCCTTCTTCACCTCTCATATGCACGCATCTCCTTACGGCTGGGTCCCCAGAGCTAACATGCACCTGATAACCTCGCCCACACCCGCGAGCTCCCTTCTCTCCTCCCCGGCATCCTCCTGCACGGGGACAAAAGATGCGTCCCACCTCCCTCCTGTAGGGAGGCTGCACTCCTCTGAGGCCTGACCAGCCTTGTCCTCCATGGCCCACAGGTAAAGGCCCGTCCTGGGGACACACCCGCTCCACCAGCTCGGCCACACTCATCCTGCAGTGCTGAAGGATGGAAGGATCCACGTCTGCGAATGCTGCCAGCCTTCCCCGCTCTCACGTGCCAGCCCCGCAAGAATCCGCCAACAGTCACATCACACTCACGTGTTCCTAGAAGCCATCGAAGCCGCAGCCAAAGTTCTACTCCATCATTTCCCAAAAGTGTCACCTAAGTCAGCCCCGGGTCCATTGGAATCAGATCCCTTCCCCTCTCTGAAGGCTGGTTCACGCTGCCTGCCTCCGAATGCTCTGAAGCTTCACCCCACGGCTGGGCCCTGGAATTAAGCCTTATCAGTGCCCCTCCCCATTCTTAAAAGGGTCCTAAAGCCTCCATTAACTGCAGCGCCTCATTCAATGACACCTAAATCTGCCCCATTTTATCTTTAGAGCCCTTCACGGCCTCCATCCTCTGTACACAGGGTGCCCAGGTGTCAGCAGGTAATGTCATTACTCTTGAAATGTGCACTGAGCAGAGGGCAAGGGCGCTCACCGGAGCACAGCCGTGGCTGAGGATGACAGAGCTGAGGTCCCCAAAGTTATAGTGCTCCATGCGATCCTCCGATCTTCCGATCCTCCGCCAGCCGCCATGTGTGGGAGCTGCAGACCACCCGCGCGGGCTCTCCTGCTGCAGGAGGGTCTGGTCCAGAGCAAAGATGACCTGAAAGACAGGGGAGAAAACATAGGTCCCTTTTAAGTTCACTGCCAAGGCAACCACTTGCTGCCGTCTTATTTCTTTTGTCCGTAGCTGGCAAGGCCCTCACCTCTGTGTTCGTTATGTAAGGATGTGGATATGGCTGCTGAAAAAAAAAAAAACACACAAATGCCTGGACAGTGTCCAAAGAGAAGGAGGCGGACAGTCCTGCCCAAATCAGCCCAAATCAGATCACACCTGGGAGACTGCCTTAAGAGAGACACATACGACCTGGAACTCCTTTTTCCATGACAGTGACCAAGGAAGAGCTGGTGTGAGGAACAGCTGAAGGAGCCGGGAGCGGGGCAGGGAGGGGGCTGGGGACACACGGCCAGACCCAGTACCGATGGGCTCCAATCCCATAAAGGACCACACCGAACAATCGATACTGCCAGCTAATGAATTCATGAGATCCATGGATGTTTGTGAAAGTCAATGTGGGGGTGGGAGGAGAGGGAAATGAGGGCTTAAAAAGTTCAACAAGTTTTATTTTTACAGAACTTCTCAGCCTTCGATACACTGATGTGCAGTGTGGTTCTCCCAGAGCCGGGCAGAGCATGCCGAGATGCCCAAACTTATTTGACATACGCATCACTAGAGAGAGTTTCACCAAAGCATCTTTTGGGGAAATCCCGATTCAAGGAATTTTACAAAGCAGGGGGTTGTCCCTGGCACAGGAGAGCCGGGTCAGAGTGGGGAGGGGGAGGTTGGGGCTGGCCACGCCCTAGAAGGCACCTGAAAACACTCCAGACCCTGTGGCGTTTTCTCTCTGGTTCTCCCCAGGCACAGATGCAGACAGACAACCTCGGGCAGCGACCCTTCCACGCGCTTCCCAGGTAATCAGAGTGCAGGATGCTGCCTTTGCTGGAATATTCCCTCCCTCTTTGCCGACATACTGACAGGCTTGGTCCACCTGAGCACTCTGACTGTGAGTTCTTCAGCAAGACATTGTCAACTCTCCAGATACAACACATTAGGGGTCTCAAGTCAGCAAATGGCCCTACGCAGTCCCAATGCCCTTTTTTTTTCCCCTTTCACACTCTCTCCTTCTCATTTTAAGTGGCAAACAGGCAGGGTGGCTTGTTGGTTTGCTTCCCTGGTTTAAGCCACCCAGTTTGTGATACTTTGTTACTGCAGCCCCAGCAAACTAATACAACCCCTCATGTCTGCGGAAGGTTATTTAATGGTGATTTCCACTTAATCTCCTCCGGAAAGGACCAGAACACTCTGGTCTTGTGCTGTCAGAATCTCTTTTCTAAGCCTCCCTTCTTCTATTTATTTCCTTCTCTCTCTCGTTCTCCATGGTTTCTCCTCTCTGCCTTCTAGGCAATGGCTCTGTTTACTGTCACACCAACAGCAGAGGGGAGAGGGGGAAGGATGGAGAGGTGGAGAGGGTGTGTGGGGTCACCCCCAGGCCATCCAAGTGCAGGTCATGTTCGAGAAGCTGGGTCAGGGCTGGGGGGAAAGGGAGCCCTAAAGGAGGGGCCAATGAGATCATGGACATTTTGGATCCAGGAAGGGAGGTGGCAGCAGCAGGGGCTGCACAGGCAGGTGTCAGGACCCTGAGCTCAGGTTCAGTCATGAGTTGCCTGAAATGTCTATACACACTTTCTGTCAGCCTAGCAGTAGATTTATGGGGCCATCCAATAGGGTTGCTCTACAGCAACACAAAATCACTTCTGGGCCTGGGTTGTGTCAACAACCCTCAGCAGTCTCTTCAGACAGCATCCAGGCTATGACCATTCCAGACACAAACACGGCTGCCTGTCCCGGGCAAGCCGGGGACCCGGCTGAAGCCCCAGATAGCATGGAACATCCCAGAGCTGCCCTTTCCCTGGGAAGTCAGTCGGCAGCAGCCCACCTGCCTCTCTCCTGCTCAGCAGTAAGCAACCTCGCCTGCCAAGGCGCCTGCAAGAGCAGAGGCTCGGTGTAAGCTGAGGTCCTCACCGGGGTGGAGTCGAGGGAAGCGGGACAGGGCTAACCAGGTCTCAGGTTAGGATTCCACATGTGATGACTCCACAGCCTTTGCTGATGCCGGAGCCCCACTCCCTCCCTTTAGGCCCTACATGACCGTGAATGCAAAGGGAAGGGCCTCATGGAAGAGTCCAGGGAGGGAGGATGGCACAAAGAGTGTCAGGAGGATAGAGGAAAAGAATATGGCCTGACATGACATGACACTACACCATCAGCAATGACCTCAGGGTCCAGGGCACCCCCCTTGCTCCATCCCTGAGCCACAGAGCACCTGGACCCCTGAGACCTCAACTGGTTCCTTGGAGGGTCCCAGGTAACACAGCTGGCTCCAGTCCCACCTGTCTCCTCACCCTGCCCCCTCTCCTCTAAGTGGGGTAGACTCTGCCTCACCCACCCCTACCTGCAAGGTGGACTTCATGGAGCAGGGATGAGAGCTCACACTGTCACTTTCCCTCCTGCAGAGACATGCTGGGAGCTATTCCTAAAGTCTAGAGGTGTCCTTGGGCAGAGCCACCAAGCAGGTGTCAAGGAAGAGCAGGCTGCTGGGGTTTCAAAGGAGTTCTCTACTGCCAGCCTAGTTCACCAGGGCAGGAAGCAGGGATATGGGGCAGAAACTAGGCTGTAGCAGCCCTTGAAGCGCTTCTCTTCTGACCCCAGAGGTAGCCAGGCAGGGTCACATCTGGCTTTAGAGGGGCAGCCCAGAGCCAGAGAAAGGCAGGATCAACACATCCATTGGGCCAGGCTCAGTGGCTCACGCCTTGTAATCCTAGCACTCTGGGAGGCAGAGGTGGGCGGATCGCTCAAGGTCAGGAGTTCAAAACCAGCCTGAGCAAGAGCGAGACCCCGTCTCTACTATAAATAGAAAGAAATTAATTGGCCAACTAATATATATAGAAAAAATTAGCCAGGCATGGTGACGGGCATGCCTGTAGTCCCAGCTACTCGGGAGTCTAAGGCAGCAGGATTCCTTGAGCCCAGGAGTTTGAGGTTGCTGTGAGCCAGGCTGACACCACGGCACTCACTCTAGCCTGGGCAACAAAGTGAGACTGTCTCAAAAAAAAAAAAACACTCATGCTTTGTCTTTGAATCTCCAAAATAAGAAACTGAGGGCCATGCGCATGCTGGGCACTTAAGAAACATGTCCCAAATAAAAACTGGCAAGAAAAGGAAAAATGACTCAAGACAGGCAGGCCTGTCTCCAGGAGGAAACACAGAGCTCATGTCTGCACCTAGAAGCTCATGAACTTCACAGCCAGCCATCAGGTACACAGTTGACTCGATTTTCCACTTCTTGTCAAAAGATAAGAAACTAAAAGTAAGGCCTAGGGGAAGAAACGTTGCAGAAGACCCTCTTGGGAGAGCTAAGAGCCCACTGAGACTTCCAATTTACTGAGACGGTGTCCACCCACAGCATCCGTGCTGACCCCTGTGAAAGGAGGGTCAGGGTTTATTCAAGGAACAGGCGGCAGGCTCTGAGGGCACTCACAGCCACTGAGCCCCTCAGCCCAGCCACACCTCATAGCAGTGTTGGGAGAGCATGTAAAAAAGCAAAAGAATGGGATAAAAGCAAATCGCTCACAAAAAGATTGGACTTAATGTGAATTTTTAGATGCCCATCTATATACACACAGCTGGTAGACATGCTGAGCTGAGCTTTTTAAGTCATCAGCACACATCCACACCGTGTCCTGTTTCAGCCAAGGCACCTCCGAGTTCGCTGTTCTCCGTTGGTCTCTCCAAGCTCTGCACCCTGAAATCCGACTCCCTCACATGCTACCTGGCTGGCACACTCAGCAGCGGCCCCCTCATTATCCAACAGCCGCTCAGGAGTACCTTGCGTGGGCCAGATGGCACCGGGAGCTGGGGACACCGGGACCAGGGGCATGGCCCACCTCCAGGGGCCCGTGCGTGCTGGGAGGCAGCGGTCAGGGCCCCAGCTGAGGCTTCCACGGGACACAGAGAAGACTGCGGAGGGTCAGTCTTAGGAACTCTTCACCGAGGAAGCAAAGTGTGACCTGAATCAGCCACTGGCCGGAGGGACAGTCTGGGGACAGGCTCTGGGCAGGGGGACAGCGAGTGCCCTCCACTCAGCCCAGGGGCCCCACAGAGGACACGGGTAAGGATGCTGCACCACGTGTTCACAAATAAATCTGCCCGTGTTTCAGGAATGGTTCCCTTTCAGAGAGTTCACATATGTTTTCCTAGGCCTTTATTTTAAACCAAACCTATCAAGTAAAAATAGAAAGTTGGGATCTCCACTTTCAAGTGTCTTATAAATCAATGACGGAAAATTCCGAGAAGTCACCTCTCAGCATCGTGGTCAATTAAAAAGTAAATAAAACACGAGACCTCCTGCTTTTATTGGAATTTATGCTGAGGAAGCAGGAACCCAAACCAGACTTCTGAGTCTGGCAGGGGCAGTGCTCAAAGGCAGGGCTGGATCAGAACAGGAGATCTGGGAGCCCAGCTTGGCTGCACTAACTCTCCCTATGCCCCGCTCACCCACTCTCTGCCGCCACCCCACCCCTCACCCCCCACTGGGCCTCTTCGGGGTTATTCCAGCAGGAAACTGTCCCCAGAGGCTTCTGCTGGCTAAGTCTCCACACTCCTGCCTTGGCCTCTGAGAACAGAGACCTGCCAGCCTTAGGGGTCGTTCTTGAGCCTCAAAAGCACTACAAGAATATTCAGAGAGATCTGCAAAGTACAAATCAAGGCCCCACATGGTATCCCTGGGTCTTGGGCCTGCCCCCTCCTAAGGGAATCTGTGGCCCCCTCCTCCCCAGGAGGCTTCCTCTGCAGCCAGCACCTCCTGGTTCTCACTCTTCCTGCGTTCACCCAGCCCTTAATAACCAGGTGCCAACAAGAGAGGTGGTATCTTTCTAGGAAATTTTCCTCCCTCTCCAGCCAGACCACGTGCTCCTGGGACTGCCTCCACCCCTCCACCCTGCCCAGACCGTTCCAGAGAATCAACCCAGAGCTAGGTGACCAACCAAAGACAACTTACTCCAACGAAGCAAAATCCCCATCTTCCCAACATGCCCAACTGTAGCTCAAGAAATGCAGTTTCATAAGATCTATAAGTACAGCCACTGGGCCCAAAGCACTATTTAAGGTTTCACTTGGTGGGGTTTTTCAGCCGGGAAAGTGAGTTGTTAGGGTCCTGGAGGTAAGGAGAGCAAAAACTGGTGATGGCCCACCCGGCTGGAAAGAACAGAAGACTGACAGCCAGAAAGACAAGCTTAAAATATGTTAGTGCCATCTATCGGCAAGAGTAAACAATAACAAAGAAACAATCCTTCGTGCTGCACCCATTCAAATAACGCCTCAGCATCCACCAAACAGCACTCTGGGGTTTGCAAAAGACTCTGACATCTCACCAACTGCCTCTTGGGATGCTAAAAGCCCAGTGTGCCAAACACACACTATATTCTAGCATATGAGCACTTAGTAATATTATAGAATTTTCACAAGATAACTTCCCTAAAAATATCATTATCAACTCAGGAACACTATTTTTAGGCTGTGAATGTCCTTATACCCTTCAGATAACAATCCTGGCTCAGTATGTCAAGGCCAAGACAGTTGGGTTAACAATAATCTCAAATTCTGAGGACCAGCATCCCAAGGCCACCCATTGGGAATATTTAGAAAACAAGAATACTCATTTTGCCTGGTATAACTCCCATTGGCCCCCAGAGGTATTTAATGCACTTTATAACAACAAAAACTTTCACCAAAGCAACTAAACAGTGGCACTTTAATAAACAAGAAGTAAAGAACCAACTTCTTGAACAGCCACCTACATTCCAGTGCCCAGAGGTAGGATCCACAAACCGTGGGTAAGAGGGGACATAACTCTGCCTAGGGAAGGAATTGTCCTGGGGGCAGTGTCTGGAAGAGGGAGGGACAACAGTGATCTCAAAAGGACTGCTGTTGGCCGGGGCAAGTGGCTCACACCTGTAATCCTAGCACTCTGGGAGGCCAAGGCGGGCAGATTGCTCGAGGTCAGGAGTTCGAAACCAGCCTGAGCAAGAGTGAGACCCCTGTCTCTACTATAAATAGAAAGAAATTAATTGGCCAACTAATATATATAGAAAAAAGTTAGCTGGGCATGGTGGCGCATGCCTGTAGTCCCAGCTACTTGGGAGGCTGAGGCAGGAGGATTGCTTGAGCCCAGGAGTTTGAGGTTGCTGTGAGCTAGGCTGATGCTACGGCACTCACTCTAGGCCTGGGCAAACAAAAGTGAGACTCTGTCTCAAAAAAAAAAAAAAAGGACTGCTGTTACCTAAACGGCATCATTTGGCTGGTAACGGTATCATTTTCAAACTAGGCTACACCCTGTGACAGCCAGCGCTGTGGCATCCACATGTCCACAGCCTCTCAAAAGCAGCTTCTTACTGAACTATCTGAATTAAAATGCATTTAAAAAGCAGGCTGGTTTTGAACTCCTGACCGTGAGCAATCCGCCCGCCTCGGCCTCCCAAGAGCTAGGATTACAGGCGTGAGCCACAGCGCCCGGCCCCCAGAATAGCATTCTTGAGCAAAGACAACTTCTAGACAAGCTGTGCCCGTGGCCCATATCCTATACTGGACCTCAAATCGATTCACCCACACCATCAAATGCCACCAGGTCCTTCATGCAAAGCGAGTCTTACCTGTGAAAAGTGCAGCCCATTCAACAGATGGCACTGCTCTTCCACCTTTTCCACCGCCCCAGTCTGCTTCCTCAGCCGCTCGGCCTCCTGGGCCGGTACAGGTCTAAGACAGGCACACCCTGGGACGTAATGTCCGCTTCCGTCAAGGAGTTGACCATGAGCATCACCCAGACAGGCCTCTCGCGCTCCCAGTTCCCCGTGATGGCATTGAAGAGGCAGTCTGCGTAGAGCCCCTTGCATGCCGCTCTGGGGTCAGCCAAGGGGACATCATGAGCTTGACGTACTCCAGGTGGCGCTCGAGGCAGCAGTAGATGTCGCTGGGGAGCACATCTTGGAGGCTCTCTTCCCCAGCATCTGACAGCCGGTGAGAGCCGGGACGGCACAGGGGTCAGTGGGGTCCAACTCCAAGTACACAGCGCTGCTCTGCTGGAAAGCCTCCCTGGAGCTGTCCGGGATGAAGTCCCAAACCTGGGTGTACGGGACATGGATTGTGCCAAAGAAGTAAGAAGGTGGGTCTCGCTTTATGGTCCACAAGAAGGAATTCGACTCACTTTGCTAAAAAGAAAAGAGACAACATCAAGGTATGATATGGGGGCAGGGGAAGGCCAGGAACCTGAGGGGAAGAAATGAATTAGTCACACTGCAAGAGAAAAATTATCAAAGTAAGATTTAGACTTTTTGAGACCAGGTAGAGTCACCTGACCAAAAGCAGGTGTCCTCAAAGCAGCCCAAGTTTCAGCATCCTTTCCCCCCTTTTCCATCAAAATGTTGCTTCCAAACGAGAATGCCATAGCAATCACCAGCTCTGCATTTGCCCTACACCGGCCCTTGCAGGGAACTGGGAAGGAGTTGAAGAGGGGAGTCTCGGGACTGCGAGAACACACCTGATACCAGGTGAGAGGCACCTGAGGAGCCGGCTGTTTTCTCCCAGGCAGACCTGATGGGCCCCCGCTTCTCCAGATCTCAAATCCGACCTTCCCTGGGACTGCAAACTAGTTCAACCTCTGTGGAAAGCAATATGGAGATACCTTAAAGCGATACAAGTGAATCTACCATTTGATCCAGCAATCCCATTGCTGGGCATCTACCCAAAAGATCCAATGACACTCTACAAAAAAGACACCTGCACTCGAATGTTTATAGCAACACAATTCATAATTGCAAGGCTGTGGAAACAGCCGAAGTGCCCGTCAATCCAAGAATGGATTAATAAAATGTGGTATATGTATACCATGGAGTACTATTCAGCTCTAAGAAACAATGGTGATATAGCACATCTTAAATTTTCCTGGTTAGAGCTGGAACCCATACTATTAAGTGAAGTGTCCCAAGAATGGAAAAACAAGCACCACATATACTCACCAGCAAATTGGTATTAACTGAACAGCACCTAAGTGGTCACATAGGTACTACAGTAATAGGGTATTGGGCAGGGGGGAGGGGGGAGGGGGTGTATATATATATATATAATGAGTGAGATGTGCACCATCTGGGGGATGGTCATACTGGAGACTCAGACTTGTGGGGGGAGGGGGGAATGGGCATTTATTGAAACCTTAAAATCTGTACCCCCATAATATGCTGAAATAAAAAAAAAAAAATCCGACGTTCCCAAGGGCAGAAGCCCTCAGCTCTGGCTGCACACTGGAATCAGCTGCAAAGCTTTTGAAACTCCAGTGCCTGGGTCGCACCCCAGACTAGTCACGTCAGCACCTCTGCAGGTGGGACTCAGAGGTGGTACCAGTGTACAGCCAAGGTTGAAACTACACTCCTAATGAGCTCCTGATTTCAGTTCACTCCTGTCCCTGTATGACATGGATTGTCCTCTGGTATTTCTTTCTTACAAAACAGAGACCTGCACAGTGTTGCATGTGTTCCCTCCCAGCTGTCTCCCAGGCTGAGCAGAGCTGCGTGTCCATCGGAGGCCAGGCCATTTCACCCTGTGCCTCTGCGTGTCCCTCAGCCTCAACAGGAAGCATTTAGGAAGTGTCCATTTACTAACAGGCATTGCACAAGAAGTGCACTGGGCAGCCCTCAAGGAGTTCAAGTGTAAAAGTCAGGTGGGGTGAATGACACATCGAGAAACCCAGAAATGTGAAAATCCAGGTTTATAGAAAACAAGATTTGGGACACACTCTCTCTAGAAAAGACTTTAATTTCAGCAGCCCTTTAAGTAATGTGTTTCCTGGATCATGGCGTTTCAATCTGCAGTAAATTATCATTATTCATGGTAGCTATGTTTCATAAAATTTCAGCCACAAACCCTGACTTTGCCAATAACGAATCATTTTCCTAAGGAAAATACAGAATTAGCCTCCCGTGAGCCTCTGGTCATGACATTTTTATCAAGCGATCAATACATAACCTTGTTTTATGTGTGCTTGGGTTGAATGCCACCTTATGTAATATATAATGCTGATTCATTAAAAGTGAACTCATGGCAGAAACACTATAACTCATGCCTGAAAAACACTTATTTAACACATGTATTTTCTCTGTAAGGCACGTCACAGCCTTCCTGCACATAAGAACACTACACAGTACTTCAGGACTATGTTTCAGGCCATCTTAAACAGTAAAATCACCTACAAAAATGAAAAAAAAAGTGTGGCAGTAAGTAGATCATGAAAAGGACACTTGTTTGCAATATAAGAGTTGAAACAATAAGGCACAGAGTCATCTTGTCAGCTCAGCTGGGAAAGTGCACATTGGGCAACTCAAATTTTTCAAAGATCTGGGCATGCAAAAGAGCCTCAGAGGGTCGATTTGGGGACTATGAATAAATTTTAGCGAGTAGGCAATAATAAGGATCTATTGTATTTGCATTTGTGTGCAACTGTCGGCAGCAGCAATCCATTTTCAAATGAAATATTACACAGAATCTCAAAATACAAGACAGGCCGGGCGTGGTGGCTCGCTTGTAATCCTAGCACTCTGGGAGGCCGAGGCGGGCGGATTGCTCAAGATCAGGAGTTCAAAACCAGCCTGAGCAAGACCCCGTCTCTACTATAAAAATAGAAAGAAATTAATTGGCCAACTAATATATATATATATAAATTAGCCGGGCATGGTGGCTCGTGCCTGTAGTCCCAGCTACTTGGGAGGCTGAGGCAGGAGGATCACTTGAGCCCAGGAGTTTGAGGTTGCTGTGAGCTAGGCTAACGCCACGGCACTCACTCTAGCCTAGGCAAGAAAGCGAGACTCTGTCTCAAAAAAATAAATGGAGTTGGCTGAAGCAGGGGCTCTACCCTCGCAGACTTCCCCCCTCCTCTCCCCACTCCCACCTTCCAGAAGAGCATCATTTCACCAGGACCGCGTACTCACATGAGGGCAAAGGCTGGCAAGAAAGCACACGGGCTGGGGGTGCGATAACAGTCAGGGGTTCCGCTGCAAACAAGCCCTCAGCTTGAAGTAAAGGACGCTGGCTAAGCAGCGCCAGCCAGCACTGGCCACCCAGGAACAGGGCCAGTTGCTCCAAAACTGACTTTTCAAAACTAAAAATCTTGATTTTAAATAAAATCTTCCCATTTGTCAATGTTGCCTCAATTTTCTTAAATGCCCAAGACAACATATCTCAATAGCCCCAGCCTGTGAAATCGTTTTTTAAAGCATTTAAATGACAGTTCTACTCATATACCCTCCTTTTCAAGAATGCACTAATTAGGCAGAATGAACCTCAACTCTTCTTGTGGCTCAGTTACTCCCTTAAGATTTTTACAAAGACACTTCATTTCTCTGCACCTCAGTTTCCTCGTCTGTGAAAGTTAAATTAACAACCCCTGTCATAAAGTTATGGGAATAAACAAGTCAGACAAGTAATTATTAAATAAATGAACAAATGAAAAAATAAATATGCATATGTTTTAATTGGCAATGTTTATTTGTGTTTATAAGACATTTTAATTGATGGATTGATTCATGCATAATAGATGTACATAGTTTCAGGGTATATGTGATAATTTAATACAGTCATATGACTGGTAAAGATCAAATTAGTGTACTTGGGATCAATTTTAAAAACCTATTAATTGTTGAAGTAATATTAAGAGATGAATCATAAACAGGACCTCCTGCCCCAAGCATCCTCTTATGGAGTAATGAGGTCCTGGGTGTTTTTTTGTTTGTTTGTTTTTTATTTTTTTTGAGACAGAGTCTCACCCTGTTGCCCAGTCTAGAGAATCAGCCTAGCTCACAGCAACCTCAAATTCCTGGGTTTAAGTGACCCTCCTGCCTCAACCTCCCAAATAGCTGGGACTACAGGTATGCACCACCACCTCCAGCTAATTTTTTTTCTATATTTAGTTGTCCAGCTAATTTTTTCTATTTTTAGTAGAGACAGGATCTCACTCTTGCTCAGGCTGCTCTCGAACTCCTTCCTGACCTCGAGCAATCCTCCTGCCTCGGCCTCCAGAGTGCTAGGATTATAGGCGTGAGCCACAGCACTCGGCCTCCCTGGGGTTATTTAAATACTTCAAAAACCAAATGGCAACTGTACGTCTACCAAGAAAAGGCTGCTGAGGCTCATGAAGCAATCAAATGTCTCGCTGTTGGTTAGAGTTAGATCAACCTAGTAGAAAACACTGGTTAACTAGGTGCTAATCAAAAGCTGAGATTGAGTTATGGCTTTGGCTAATTTTAAGTGGATTACAAAATACTTATTACCTACAAACAAGTGGAGGCAGCCTACAAAGTATAATTTTAGTTTGGTTGGTTGTTCATTTTACAGCGAATGTTGATGATCAAAGAGGGCTGGCTGGTGCAATGGCTGGGGACCACTGACCTATATCAGAGATCTAGTTGCACAACTTCCACATGGTCTACCAAAGGACTTCTACCCGGTTGCCAAGGAGGAGACATAGCAACCAAGCTGAAATGTCATTATTAAACTCTCGGGCACCGTATTTAAAATCCCCCTCCCACCATTGTGCCACAGTGCTCTTCACTGTCACCTGCCAGGACACCATGATGTTAAACAAATAAATTCCCAGGGAAAGCAAACCCATTCTGCAGGATCACAGCGAAGGTGGGGTTCACTTTGGTTTGGTTTTGGTTTGGTTTATCACTTAACCTGTGTAACGTCCCCTCCTACTTCAAAATACCTGTGCTTCTCTTCAGAAACAGTCTATTCAATATGCATCCATTTTTATTGTATTATTTATTTTATCATTGCCTTTTCAACTATTATTAGTCTAGAAATTAGATCATTGTATGATCTTTTCACTGAAAACTGCTTAGATTTATAAAAAATGAACACACATTCATGTTCTGGCCTCTGGCCATGTAATGACAGCCACGATGCTGGGGGCAGCTGGCTCTTACTGAATGTTCACTGTGAGCCAGCCACCATGCAACATTTCATGTGGACTGTCCCCCTGCCTGAATTCGACACAATCATTTCCTCTTCATGTGCCAGGCACTGTTCCAGGCACGAGGCATGCAGCAGTGAGTGAAACACAGGTCCCTGCCTCAGGTATTTCAGTGATAATTGCTGTGGAGGACATGGAAGCTGGCAAAGGGACAAAGAGTACCGTGGCACAGTGGTGGGGGGAGATTTTAAATAGAGGGACCAGGAAAGTCACTGAGTGTCTGGAAAGACATCTAAGCCTCGCCATGAAGGAGGTGAGGGGCCAGCCATTAGGACATCTGAGAAAAGAGCATTCCTTCCAGCTGGAGGAAAGGGCAGTGCAAAGGCCCTGAGGCAGGAAGGTCCTCAAGGTGTCAGAGGAGCAGCAAGGAGGTCAGCATGACTCCACAGGGATGACTGATGAGGAAAGCAGGAAGCCAGGCCACACAGGGCCTATTGGCCCCTGGAAGGGACCAAGCTTTCAAGCTGAGACCTGTGGAGCTAGCCCACTTTTTTGTTTTTTTTTTTGAGACAGAGTCTCACTCTGTTGCTTGGGCTAGAGTGCTGTGGTGTCAGCCTAGCTCACAGCAACCTCAAACTCCTGGGCTCAAGCAATCCTCCCGCCTCAGCCTCCCGAGAAACTGAGACAACAGGAAACTGATCCTCCTGCCTCAACCTCCCACATAGTTGGAACTACAGGCATGTTCCACCATGCCCGGCTAATTATATATATATATGTTGTCTAGCTAGTTTCTTTCTATTTTTTCAGTAGAGACGGGGGCTCACTCTTGCTCAGGCTGGTCTTCAACTCCTGAGCTCAAACGATCTGCCCACCTCTGCCTCCCAGAGTGCGAGGATTATAGGTGTGAGCCACCTCGCCCGGCCTTGCCCAGATTTTTGAGAGAGGAGTGACATGAACTGACTTAATGTGTTAAAAGGATCACTCTGGTGGCTGAGACGAACGGACTATTGAGGGATGAGGGCAGACATCAAGTAGGTCAACTAGGACCTGACCAAAATAATCCAAGTGAGAGGACAGAGTGCAAGTGAGACAACTGATGAGAAGTGATCAGATTCCAGATATATTCCAGTAGCCAGAAAACGGGACTTGCTGATGACAAGATGAGGTCGCCATCAACAGAGATGGAGAAGACAGGGGTGAAACGGGATTAGAGGGGAAGTTCAGAAATTTAGTTTTGTACCTGTCAAGTTAAGATGTCCAGTAGGCAACCTAGGGGTGAGGTCAAGGTGGTAGCTGAGTATGCAAGTCTGGAGTTTGAGAGAGGCCTGGGCCAGAGATAAAAAAAAAAAAACAGGGCATCATCACCATTTGGATGCTATTTAAAGCCATGAGACTGGATGAGTGCTCCAAGAGACTGAGTGTCAACAAGAGAGAAAGGTCTAGGAATGGACCCTTGGGTCTTCTAAACATAAGAAGCCAGGGAAAGGAAGAGCAGCCAGCAAGGGAGAATGAGAAGTGGCAGCAAGGCGAAATCAGAAGAGCAGGAAGCCAGTTGAAGAAAGAGCTTCAAGGAGAAGCAAGCAAGTGGGTTAAGTGTGGCAGGCGGGCCAAATAGTAGAGAATTTGAGAGCTGACCTCTGAATTAATCAACACTGAGGTAACTGGGGACCCAGACAAGAACAATTTTGGTGGCAAGGTGGAGACAAAAACCTGCCCTGTGCTAAGTGGTGGACCCACAGGCCGGCTCCTGAACTCTGGGTTTTAAACACCATGGTATGTGTCCTTAACATGCGACAGACTTCACTTGCAATTCAGACACTTTTTTTTTTTGAGACAGTCTCACTCTGTTGCCCAGGCTAGAGTGCTATGGCGTCAGCCTAGCTCACAGCAACCTCAGACTCCTGGGCTCAAGCCATCCTCCTGCCTCAGCCTCCCAAGTGGCTGGGACTACAGGCGTGCGCCACCATGCCCGGTTAATTTTTTCTATATATATTTTTAGTTGGTCAATTAATTTCTTTCTATTTATAGTAGAGACGGGGTCTCGCTCTTGCCCAGGCTGGTTTTGAAAGCCAGCAGCAGGAATAGCAAAGAACTCTCAAGAGTTCTGTTTGAGCACTGATAAGGAAGAGATTTGGCTGCCTGATGCTCAAGGTAAACCCTGCAGTGTCTGGGTGCAGACCTGGGCTCAGAAGACCTCTCTAATGATTAACCAGCCGGGAAAACCAAAGCAGCTCTCCAGCTCACAGGACTCCAGAATCCCAGCGGGCTGCTGCCTTCTATTGGAAGCTGGATTCCAGAGCTTCCACTTTGCAATCTCAAGACGCCAAGCCCTGAGGGACCCACTCACAACGCCCTTGTAGCACGGGGGTCACACATACACCCCTGCCACTGACTGGCCTGCCCAACGCCACAGCAGGTAAGACAGTTTGCCCACAGAATAGAACAGCAGTTCTCACAGTGTGGTCCAGGAGCCTGTGGGTGTCCCCAACACCCTTTCAGGGAGTCTGTAGCTCAAAACTATTTTCATAAGACTAAGATATTTCCCTCTTTCACCTGCACTCTCTCACAAGCACAGGGAAGAATTTTCTGGAGACTACACGCATGTAATGACGTTGCTGCTCTTGCTGTTAATCAAACATGTGCTTGTGCGTTCTTGTGTTTTACTAATATCTCCATTAATTCACATTTTTAAAAAGCTCTCTGAGGTCCTCAATGCCTTTTTTAGAGTGGTGAGGGGTCCTGGGACCAAAAGGTTAGAGAATCGAGGTTATAAAAGGCTCATGAAGACAGATTGAAAAGAAAGGAGAGAGACCTTGTCAAGACTCGCGGGTCATAATCACGAGTTGGTAACAGATTTTGCAGGCCTGAAAGACATTCTGCTTTCACATGAAGAGGCGGAGTCCTGCCTTATCTAACAAGCCACACGGCAGCGAAACTTGGAACCGTGCCTGGCGCTCGGCCCTCTCTAGCTGCCGCGCCTCCTGCCTCCCTAGAGCGCGAGCCCCGCGGCGCCTTAGGGACACATTGCGACTTTCCGGACAGGAACCGCTCAATTACGCCACCCTCTGCTCTGCTGTGGGTGGGACAATGACTAAAATTGCGAACGGCCAACGGTGGAGGCCCGCCAGGCGCTGCGCGGGTGTCATCGGGCGGGGGTGGGCGGACCACCTAAGTCCTGCACCGGGCGTCCGAGGGCGCACAAGCCACCAGAAGGGCAACCCTAGGATCGCCCTCCCCGTAGTCAGGGAGATCAAACCCACTGGTGCACATGCCCAAAATTCAGCCTCCATCGCATTCAAAAGAGAGGGATTGGAGAAGGAAGGAAAATTCCGAAGAAAACTGATCCAGAGAAGAAAACCTCATCCCGAAAGAGGTCTAGCCTCGGAGACGCAAGACTTGCCAGGTTTCCGCTCCGCCTCGGCTCCCGTAGCGCTGGGCGGACCCAAGCAGGTCACTGCGCTTCCCTGGCCTCAGTTTCCCTCAGCGGCAAAGCGGTACGCGAGTATGTAAAGAAACGCCGCCTGCTAGCCTGTCAGATAGAGGTCCCTCCGGGAAAACGCCCTGTGACCCGGAGCACACAGGCCCTCCTCTGAGCCTCAATTCCCCAAACCAGTAAAACAGGGGAAATGGATTCAGCTCCCTCAAGTCTCTTCTAACTCAGGCAGTGAATATACAAAGGCTAGATCAAGCAGCTGCAGGGTGCTTTTAATATTTTGATAAAAACAGGTAAAATTGAACGCTTAGGGAAGATAGGGCAAAACCAACTTCCAAAGTAAATATGCCCAAGTTCCGCACCGCTTTGCCCTCGCAGATGCGTCACCCAAATGCCAGCGAAGCAGCTGGCGAGCCCCCGGGGCCCTCCGTGACGCCCTAGGGCTGGCGCGGGCCAGGGCCGGGGCACCGAGTCGCTTGTCGCGAACCGGCTGCGCCCCGGCCGGAATGGGCGATCCGAGCGCGCGGAGAGGCGCGTGAGCACGGAGGCGCGGCGGTGCAGGGTGGAAGCCCAGCCCTGAGAATCGGCTCCGAGTCCGAGAACCGGTGCCTCGCGGGGTTCAGAAGGGAAGCACCCCAGGGACGTGCGGGGAGGCCGCTTCTCCCGCGCCCGGCGCGCCCCTTACTTGGGGCTTGAGATCGCAGTTGGCAGCGGCGGGCGCCAAGGGGCTGCGCCCGTGGGCAGGAGGCAGAGGGTCGGCAGCAGGAACCAGCTCCAGGGACGCATCGTCCTCACTGCACATCCGAAGCCCGGGACGCGAAGGGAAGGAGTGGAGCAGCGTTGGCCGCTCGGCCCGGCTATCCGGCGGCCACAGATCTGCCGACACGCCGGGCGCCCGCCACCGCGCGCCGGGCTGGGGGCCGGGACGTTCCCCTGCCGCCCCGACCCTCACGCCTGCTGCCTCTGCGGTTCGCGCCGCCGCGTCCGGGCCGGGACAAGCCGGGCGGCTGCGGCCACGTGGGGCCCGGCCCGGACCCCCACCCCCAGGCGCCGAGGCAGCCGCGGGAGTCCCGGCCGGCCGCGTCTCTCCGGCCCAGACCCTGCCAGGGCCGCCGCCCACCCGGTGAGCCCGCGAGAAGGGAGAAGGGAAGTTCCAGCGCTGTCTTCAAAATTCAACTTAAAATTGTGTTGGTTCCTGCGTAAACGTCTGTGCTTACGCTGCCAATGTTGACGGGAGGGTGGCTCTTGAGTCAGAGACCAAAAAAAAAAGCAGATGAGGATATTATGATAAAGGAAAGTTCACCTAAACAAAGCAAGTCGCATGGAAGTCGAGTCTGTGAAAGAGAGAGGGGACTGGCCAGTGCCTGCATCCACTTAAAGTCCGGGACCACAAAAGCCGGCTCTCCAGTAGGGCCCCCTTGAGGGGTTTTCGGGGATCACGTTAAGGATGTCACCGCCGAACGCCGAGGATTGCTGCAGGTTGGGTGAGGGCATTTGCGAAAAGCACCTCGTTAGGCGCACATAGTAGGCCCGCAAATGCACTCGCTCCCTTCCGGCTCCAAATCCCCACCGAGGATTTTTCACAGCGCAGGCACTTCGGAAAGAAAAAAAACATTATAAAAGCAACTAGTTGGGCCCGCCTGCCCCACCTCCCACCCGTGCCTGAGTGCACTTGCCACTCTTTAAGTCCATGATGAGGCGCAATAAATTTCTGAGAGGGGTTTAGTGAGGCATTTGTCGCAGTGGCTCTTTTTTTTATTTTTTTTTTCTATTTTCAGAAATATTGGCCAATTAATTTTTATTTATTTTTTTTTATTTTTTTTTTAGAGAGACGGTCTCGCTCTTGCTCAAGTGGGTCTCGAACTCCGAGCTCAAACAATCCGCCCGCTTGGCCTCCCAGAGGTTGATTACAGGCGTGAGCCACCGCGCCCGGCCTGCAGTGGCTCTTAATTGTCTGAAATCACAGGTCCACTTTGAAATTCTAACAGAAACTAGACGACTGCCCGGGACAGGAGAGGAGAGGCCCAGATTTGCATGCAATGGGGGCAGGGCTTTTCTGAGACGCGGAAGCCGGTCTCCAGGACTCCAGTAAAAAAAAAAAGAAAGGAAGGAGGAAGGAAGAGAGGAAGGAAGGAAGGAGAGAAGAAAGAAGGAAGAAGAGAAGGAGGAAGAGGAAGGAAGAGAAGGAGGAGGAAGAAGAAGAAGAGGAAGGAAGAAGGAAGGAAGGAAGGAGGAGAGAAGGAAGGAAGAAGGAGAAGAAGAAGGAAGAAGGAAGAAGAAAGGAAGGAAGGAGGAAGGAAGGCAAGGAAGGAAGGAAGGGATAGGAAGGAAGGAAGGAAGGAAGGAAGGAAGGAAGAGGAAGAAGAAGGAAGGGAAGGAGGAAGAAAGAGGAGAGGAAGGAAGAAGGAAGGAAGGAAGGAGGAGGAAGGAAGGAAGGACACCTCTTTAAAGAGCCAAATTTTTCAAGCTTTGATTCCTCTAACGCTTGGGCTGAGATGTTTTTGTGAAACTGCTAACTTTTTCCAGTTCTAAGTCTGAGCAGGGGGCTGCTTTCTGGAGTTGACGCTCTCCAGTCTTCAAACGACTCTGCGGCTACAGCGCGGCGGCTGTCGCGGGTCCCCCCGGCCAGCCCAGAACGCAGCCACCTGGTCCCGGGTTTTAGGTGCCAGCGCTGCCACCTACTGGCAAAAACGTTCTCCTCCGGCCGTGGGGGGGGGGAGATGAAGAACTCAAAAGGAAGTAATTACCTAGTATTTCATATTGTTTCCCCTACTCCAAATGATTTATCGACCAATGAATGTGGCGAAAGAGGTGAGGAATAATGTGTCACAAAACATGACTGAATTTGTTTTCTCTTATTGTCTCTTTTATTTCCTTGGTTTTTACTCTTACCTTTATTTTTTTCCTTCAGTTTACTTACTTTTGGATTTACTTTGCTCTTCTATGTCTAGCTTCTTAAAGTGGAGCCGTAAGTCATCGACTTTAAGCCTTTCTGCTTTTCTAATACAAGCACTTAAAGCTATAAATTTCCCTTTAAGCACTGCGTTAGCTGAATCACTCAAATTTTGAAAAGTTGTATTTCATTATCATTCATTATTTAATTTCTCTGGTGATTGTTTCATTGAGCATGGATTGTTTAGAAGTATGTTGGCCGGGTGCGGTGGCTCACGCCTGTAATCCTAGCACTCTGGGAGGCCAAGGCTGGCAGATTGCTTGAGGTCAGGAATTCAAAACCAGCCTGAGCAAGAGCGAGACCGTCTTACTATAAATAGAAGAATAATTAGCCAATAATATATATAGAAAAATTAGCCGGGCATGTGGCGCATGCTGTAGTCCAGGTACTCGGAGGCTGAGGCGAAGGACGCTGAGCCCAGGAGTTTGAGGTTGCTGTGAGCTAGGCTGACACCTTGGCACTCACTCTAGCCTGGGCAATAAAGTGAGACTCTGTCTCAAAAAAAAAAAAGGAAGTAAAAATGTTGATTAGTTTCCAAATTATGGAGTTTTTCTAGATATCTTATTGTTACTGATTTCTAATCCAATTCTGTTTTTGTTTTGTTTTGTTTTTTTGAGACAGGATCTTGCTCTGTCACCCAGGCTGGAGTGCAGTGCCATGATCATAGCTCACTGCAGGCTCACACTCCTGGGCTCCGGGGATCTACAGGTGCACACCACCACACCTGGCTTTTTTTTTTTTTTTTTCTGCAAAGTCTGTGTTGCTCAGGCTGGTCTGGAACTCCTGGCCTCAAGTGATCTTCCTGCCTTGGCCTCCCGAAGCACTGAGATTACAGGTGTGAGCCACCATTGCCAGACCCAATTCCATTATAATCAAAGAACACACTCCATATGATTTCAATCATTTTAAATTTATTTGGAATTGTTTTACAGCCCAACATATGATCGGATACTGAGTTTGACATGTCTAGTATGTAGATAACTTTGTTTGGCTCTGCCATTGTTTTAAATGAGGCTTCTTGTCTTAGCCAGACCCATCACCAAGTAGGATTTGTTCTGAGAGACACCCAGTGTCCAAACAGTCAGTAGAATCACATCTACTCTACATACATTGCCTCTGCAGACATTCCTAAGTCCACCATCACTCCACCACGCTGACCCAGACCTGGTGACTGTCCGCTGACAGAGCCTGGTCCACACCTGCCTTCTAAAGATATTTGGGTTGCAGGCCTTTCTGGCTTTCACTTCCTGGTCAAGAAGCAGATGCTGCATGTGTCCCTGACCTCCTCTCTGCCTATCCACAGAATTTCTGTGTCGAGTTCAGCTCCCTGCCTTGAGCATTGTTACTGGACTGCACCTCTGGTGTCCCACTGCCAGAGGCCTGAATGCTTCTGAACCTTACCCTGCTCCTTTCTCTTGCCCCTTCATGTCCAGTCAATACTCCTGGAAACCCTCCTGTCTTAGTCTATTTTGTGCTGCTGTAACAGAATACCATAGACTGGGTGATTTATGAAGAACAAGAATTTATTTCCTTACAGTTCTGGAGGTTGGAAAATCCAAGATCAAGGTGCTAGAATCTGGCCAGGGCCTTCTTGCTGCGGTGCCCCATGGCAGAAAGTGAGAGTGGAGAGAGCAAGAGGTCAAGCTTGAAGCCTCAAGCTTTTTTATAATTGGCATTAATCCATTCGTGAGGGTGGAGCCCTTGTGGCCCAAACACCTCCAACTAGGCCCCACCTCCCAACATTGCACTGGGGATTAAGTTTCCAAAACCTGCTTTTGGGAGAATGCATTCAAACTATAGCACCTCCTTGTGTCTAACCTACTCTTAAGTTCTTCCTTTCTACCTCTGCTAATGACTTTCTGAATTTACACAAATTTATAGGCTTGTCCCCTTCATAGCAGTCACCTGAGGAAATTATACTGTGGATACCTTTTTGCTTTTTCCAAAAAATCAGATTTACTCTCAAAAATAAAGATTTCAGAGTATGCAGAGGATTTGCTGTGGTTTCAGCCACACCTTTGTGCCTTCACCCCACTTTTCTCTACTTGGCTTGGCCAACGTGCAGCCATCCAAGATCAGAATCACTTAGCACACTCTACAGAGTCCCCAAGGGGGTCAGGACAGCCCAGGTGTGGTAGGCAGGCCCCCTTGATCCTGCCTCCTAATAGTGACTCTTCTGTTTAATACTCTCCCCTTGAGTGTGGGCAGAACCTGAGGCTTGCTTCTAAGCAGTGGAATGTGATAAAGGTCCTGGGATGTCCTGTGATTGCTTGTATGTGACAACATACAAATGAAGTGCCAGCCCGGTGCAGTGGCTCATGCCTGTAATCCTACCACTCTGAGAGGCAAAGGTGGGTGGATTGCTCAAGGTTAGGAGTTCGAGACCAGTCTAAGCAAGAGTGAGACCCTGTCTCTACTAAAAATAGAAAGGAATTAATTGGCCAACTAAAAATATATAGAAAAAATTAGCCAAGCATGGTGGCACATGCCTGTAGTCCCAGCTACTCAGGAGGCTGAGGCAGGAGGATTGCTTGAGCCCAGGAGTTTGAGGTTGCTGTGAGCTAGGCTGATGCCATGGCACTCTAGCCCGGGCAACAGAGTGAGACTTTGTCTTAAAAAAAAAAAAAAGCATGTAAGTGCCAGTCTTGCTAGCGTCTCTCTCTCCATTGCTGTCTTTGAACAAGCAAGCTGCCATGAGTCCTACATCATGAGATCATGAATTTTACCAACAACCTAGATGAGCTCAGAAACAGATCCCTCCCCAGTTGAGCCTCTGATGAGAACTCAGTCCTGGCCAACACCTTGACTGAAGTCTCATAAGACCCAAAGCAGAGGACTCAGTTAAGCTATGTCCACACTCCTGATTCAAAGAAACTGA